GTGACTACATAAAAGTATTTGGAGGGAGAGATCCCCTTTCCTGGCCCTGCCCTTTTAACTGAGTCATCTCCAAAAAGTAGACTTTCCAAATTCCCCCAACTCTGTGTTGGGTCCTCAGGGGGGCTGAGTCACAGGGAAAGTCGAGACTGGGAGGCAGGTGATTGATGCATATGAAGTCGAGTTGCCTCCAGGACGGGTACCTACATGCCCTCTTTCCCCAGAGCCTGCCACTCACCCACCGCGGTCACCCAGTTGGGTTTATCTGATCACGGCAAGCCCTCTGTGGTGAACAGACAGCGGGATGCGCATTCTCTGCCTCTCTGCCTTTGTCTCCACCCACTCCCGTCCATCTTCTGCATGCCGCTGGAGCCATCGTCCCACTGTCACCTCACTCCTCGTTCCTCCTCTGCTCTGAAGTTCCAGGGCTCCCCATTGCCTATAGAAAGTCAAGTCCATAACCTAGCACGCCAGCTCCTTCCTGATCCAGCCCCGTGGCCCTCTGCAGCAACACCATGCATGGGTCCTCCATGCCAACTTCATGCAGGCCTTGGGTCAGGCCATGTCCCCACCCCCTCCCTTCCAGCAGGATGCCCTTTCGTCTCTGCCAGTCCAAATAGCACAAGTGTGAAACCGTGACCCCAATGTCCCCATGTCCTCTAAGCTCACCATGTTCTTAGTTTCAACCAATAACTATGATTAATAAAATAGTCCAAAACCCCACGCTCCGTACTGCAGGGCCTCCAGGGCCCTTCTCAACACCGCGGACACCCCCCACGCTGGATCTCTGTGTCCTTTCACCACTGGCTCTCCCGTCGGCCTGAGCCACACGCCCCCCGCACCCTGCTGCCTCCCAACCTCTCTCTGCTCCCTGACCCTTCATTCCCCTGGCCCCCCACACAAGCCTGGGTGTGCAACAGACTCTGCTGAAGGTGTGGAGAAAGGAGAGAGACTTCAGAACCTAACCAGCAGCAACACCAAACCGAACATTCCTGGACCCTCCCTGCCAGCCCACCCCATGCCCCCCTGCCCCTGGGCCCCCTGCCACTGAGGAACCCTGGCCCATCTCCACTCTGCTCCATGTCCCCAGGGCCTGTCAGAGTCCCGCTCTCCAGCTGCCAACGCCTGCTCCTCACCTCACAGGGCCATGTCCTTCACTTTGCTCGGGAGGTGCCAGGAGGAGACACCTGCCCTCTATTAAACAAAAAGGGCCTCTGAAGGGAATTTCCCCAAGCTAAAGCACAGCCTCCTCCTGTCCCAGCCCCACCTCAAGCAGGGAGCAGCTGCCTTCAGTCCTTTATTTAAGTAACACTAGGGTTTTTTTAAGTGTTTTTTTCTCACAGTGTGGAATGTTACAGACAGAGGTGGGACCATCAAGCCCAATGTCATCGCTTAACACATAAGAGGCTGATAGAGATCCAGAGGGCAGGATCCTACCCAAAGAAAGCTCAGCAGTTTAGTGCCCCACTTGGTGGAGAACCTAGTTCTCTGACTCCAGATCTGGGGCATCTGCACTCCCCACAACGCCTGCTCTTCCATATCCAGAACAAGGTGGGGAGGTGGGGAGAAGAAACCGATATTTACTGAGCACCTGCTGTGTGCCAGGCATGGTGCTAAGCATTTTATATACATTATGTCATTTAATCCTCACATTCACCCTTCAGGTAAGAACTGCTATTATCCCCCTTTTACAACGAGCAAACTGACCGCCAAAGAGGAAGCCTCTAGTCCAGGCGTCCCCAGACTTTTTACACAGGGGGCCAGTTCACTGTCCCTCAGACCGTTGGAGGGCCGCCACATACTGTGCTCCTCTCACTGACCACCAGTGAAAGAGGTGCCCCTTCCTGAAGTGCGGCGGGGGGCCGGATAAATGGCCTCAGGGGGCCGTAGTTTGGGGACGCCTGCTCTAGTCGGTTACCCAGCGTCCCTCAGCTCAGAACTGGAATTACAATTCAGCCCAACTCTTTAAGAAATTAACCCAGCTTGGTCTGAAGCAGGGTTCTTATTCTTCATAACAATAAAAGCAAACATTTGTGGACTCTTTGCCAGGCAGCAGACTGAAAATCTCACATGATTTATAGTGTTTAATCTTCACAGTAATTCCAGGAAGCATGCAGGATTATTCCCATTTTACAGATGAGAAAACCAAGGCTCAGAAAAGTAAGGTGATCTGCCCAAGCTCTCACAGGTGATGCCTGGCAAAGATATATTCAAGCCCAGATTCATCCAGTCCAAGCTGCTCTCCCCACTCTCCCCACTCCTCTCCCCAGGAACCCCCTCATCCCTTCCTACTGGGAAGGCCAGGCGTGGCCGCAAAGGCCAGCCCCTACGCCTGCCTGTTCCTTTTGCTCCAGCCAGCTTTGGGGCCTCTTTTTCTCCCCACTTGTGGATTTACTTCTGGGCATCTGGGGACCCTCCATCTTAGAAGTTGGTTCTGCTCATGGTGCCAGCGAGGCAGATGTAGCCCCTCCATCCCCGCTCCCAAGTCTCAGCAGAAAGAATTAGATGTGGGACTAAGAAGCCCCCCAAGCAAAGCCCCAGCTGCTAGGCCCAGGCAACTCCTGAAGCTGGAAATGGGTGCCACTCAGGGACTGAGTCAGCTGATGCCCATTCAGGGCCAAGATAGGGCACTACTCTCCCTCCAGGCACTGCCACTACCACCCTGGTAACAGCATTCATAAATTTGACTCCTCCAGGCACCTCGCGTAAGCGAGATCAAACAGGATTTGTCTTTTCGCGTCTGACTTCTTTCACCCAGCACAACGTCTTCAAGGTCCGCCCATGATGCAGCCTGTGTCAAAGTTTCCTTCCTTCGTAAGGCTGAAGAGTATCACGTTGCATGTGTAGACCACATTTTGTTTCTCTGTTCCCTCCCTGTTGGTGCCCTGGCTCTCAGTTCTGGCCAGCTACAGCTGGAGAGACATGGGGTCCTCTGTCCCAGGAGTTGGGAGTGGACCTTTGTCATCTGGGGGGTGTCTCCCTTACAGTTCCTTGATTGCAAACAGGATCCGATTTGACATCCTTGTGCTTCAGGGGCATTTACTGAGAGACAGTGAAGAGCTCACAGGGTGGAGGGGAGGCTGGAAAACCGGGTTCAGATTCAAGTCCAGGAGAGGAAGGACGTGGGTCAGTGCTAGCAGCCCTAGTAGCATCTCATCGTGTCCCATGGGCTCTGATGAAACCAAGCCACGAGCAGGTCGGCTTAGGCAGGTCACGTGTTCCACCTCTAAGAGAGGAGAGGTGGACTAAGAGTGGGCAGGGAGGGAAGGGTCTCAGGGACCCTGGGTCCTGCATGGTCAAACCCAACCAACTGCCTCTACAGGGGGCCTCAGACATTTCTGGCATCTGTCTATTCTAGAGGCTTCTCAGGCTTGGTGCTGTGCTTCTTCCATCATACTAAGAGTTCCCCCTAGACCAGGACGGGCGATGCTTCCACACACAGAAGGAAGGAAGGAGAGAGAGGCGGAAGAAGGGAGAGGGAGGGAGGAGGATGGTGAGCTTTTAAAGCACCGTAATGAGTTTAACTTAGTGCTGAGCTCTTTTACATAAGTTATCCCTGCAAGTGAGGAAAGGAAGTCCTAGCAGAGCAAAGGAGCAGAGCAAAGGCATGGAGCTGTGACACAGCAGGGCTGCCAAGTGGCCCAGGGCTGACAGGGGCAAGGAAGATGGCCCAGGGGAGAAAGCTGGAGGTGGGGGCAAGGACCTGACAACGAAGAGCCTGGAACTGGGACACTAGGCGAAGAAGCTGGGCTCTCACTGAAGCTCGGCCTGACCTCCACCTTCCCAAGGCAGCCCAGGATCTAGCCACCTGCTAGCTACCCAGCTCACCCCACAAAATGGGACCCTCCTGAAAAATGTGCCTGGCTGAGCCCAGGAAGCCCTTCTAGAAAACTTCCCGGCATCCAAGTTGAGACCCTCAATTTGGTAGGACCTTCATTTGGCCCCAGCTTATGCCACCCCTTCCAGGGCCAAACAGACAAGGAACAAAAGAACAGGCCCACAGGCCACCTGGCCACCGATAGAGGGTCAGGAAGGGGAGCTCGTAGCAGAGATAAAAACACAATAATGGTAATTTTTTTACCACTTTTATGAGGCTAAAAATGAGCTGGAAAACAAAATAATCACGGCTTTCAAGCTAGATAAAAACACGTAATTTTGTTCTTGTTAACTCAACTAAAATGATTCACGGCCTGGTGGCCGGAGATTCAGTGTGTGATCTGATCAGCACGGTAACAGTTGCCAGCTGCAGATTTCTCTGCAACTGAGCTGCTCAAATGCCACGTGTCCCTGTAGGCTCACCCTGTCTTGGCCAGGTCTGTCTAAAGTGCCTGCTGACCTATACCACAAGCCCCGACCAGTAGGGCAGGGCAGTAAAGCCATGGGGTGTGGGGTCGGTAGGATCTGAGTGGGACTGGAGCGAGTGGCCTTCCATAGCTAGAGAAGGTTGGCCAATGGCCAGGGAGCAACCTGGACTGAAACCTTAGCTCCGTTGCAAAGCCATGAAACTGGTCAAGTCACTTCACCTCTCAGAGCCTCAACGTCCTCATCTGTGAAATGGAGATAACAACATCGACCCCTCAGAACTGTGAAATTAAGAAATCAGATGCAAAGGTGCTTATCCTGCTGAGATGCACATAGTAGGCCCACAGAAAATGGCCACTTTCCTCAGTCTACCCCCATTGGGCTGGTTGAACCCTTTCTCTTGCCCATCGTCCGAAGTGTCCCCCAGCCCTGTCTCTGAATCACGAAGGTAACATTCCCTTATAAGGTGACTACAGGAAGCAGGGCCCACTGGGTCTGAGCCAACCTCAGATGCAGATGCTTCCTGGGTCTATCCTGGATCCCACGGGCATGAGGTGTGAAGGCTGCCGCCAGGTGACAACCTGCCCTGAGTCACTGCAACAGACAAAGCCTGACGCCTCCCCAAGCAACAGCCCCACCACCCAGTGAGGCCCATTTATCTGCAATATCTTGGTCGGCCAAGCCAGCGCCCCAGGCCAGCAGGGCATTTGGTGAAAACCCAGGTCAGAACCTGCCAGGTCTTGCACGCTGGGCTCCACTCCCCGGGGAGGGCTGCATGGGACTTGGAGATGCTAGAGGCCATGAAGGATGGTGAAGGGCTCCATTCTTCTTCCACTCAGCACCCAGTGTCTGATGGCAGCAGCGCCACTGGCCCCCACTCTCTCCGCTCTGTCCATAGCTCCAGCCTGCTTCCTGTAATGGCCAGGTCTCTGCTCCAAGCCCTCACCTGCCAGAGGCTGCACCCTCCTGGGCCACGGGTCAGATGCTGGCTGGAGATGGGCTCTGTGGGTAAACGCACTGACTCTGGAGCCAGACTGCCTGGCTATGCATCTTGATCTGGAACTTGCTAGCGATGTGACCTTGGGTAAGTTACACAGCCTCTCCTGCTTCCTCACCTACAGAATAGAGAGAATACTTACCTACCTTGTAGACTCACGATGTGGTTAAGGAGCTGAAAAACAGCTCATCGTAAACGATCCCCAGTTTTGCCTTTTTAAAAAGTTGAGCCAACGTTTAAAAATAAGATTCCACAGAGAAATCTCGATTTTGGCTTTTCTTGAAAAAAATCAAAAAATTTGGAAAGACACATTCCTTCAAGGCACCGACTGGCATTCCTTTTGGATCAGTCGTTCTCAGCCCCAGCTGTACCTTGGAATCCAATTAGGGCCGAGAGCAGTGGCTCACACCTATAATCCCAGCACTTTGGGAGGCCGAGGCAGGCGGATCACCTGAGGTCGGGAGTTCGAGAGCAGCCTGACCAACATGGAGAAATCCTGTCTCTACTAAAAATACAAAATGAGGCGGGCGTGGTGACGCCCAGGTACTTGGGAGGCTGAGGCAGGAGAATCACTTGAACCCAGGAGGCAGAGGTTGCAGTGAGCTGAGATTACGCCATTGTACTCCAGCCTGGGCCACAAAAGCAAAACTCCTTCTCAAAAAAGAAAAAAAAAAAGAACCCCATTAGAATCACTGGGCAGACCAGGTGCAGTGCCCCACACCTATAATCCCAGCACTTTGGGAGGCTGAGGCAGGAGTTCAAGACCAGCCCAGGCAAGGTAGTGAGACCTTGTCTCTACAAAAATAATTTTAAAAAATTAATCAGCCAGGCACGGTGGTGTGCGCCCATAGTCCCAGCTACTTGGGAGGCTGAGGCAGGAGGATCGTTTGAGTTCAGAAAGTTGAGGCTGGAGTGTGCTATGATTGAGTCACAGCACTTCAGCCTGGGCAACTGAGTGAGACCCTGTCTCTAAAAAAGAAAGAAAAAGGCCAGGCACAGTGGCTCAAGCCTGTAATCCCAGCACTTTGGGAGGCCGAGGCGGACGGATCACGAGGTCAAGAGATCGAGACCATCCTGGTCAACATGGTGAAACCCCGTCTCTAGTAAAAATACAAAAAATTAGCTGGGCATGGTGGTGCGTACCTGTAATCCCAGCTACTCAGGAGGCTGAGGCAGGAGAATTGCCTGAACCCAGGAGGTGGAGGTTGTGGTGAGCCGAGATCGCGCCATTGCACTCCAGCCTGGGTAACGAGAGCGAAAGAAAGAAAGAAAGAAAGAATAAACAATCACCTGAGCAGCTATTAGAATATGTTGCTACTGAGCCTCACTCTGGTCCTAAGAAGTCAGAAACTGGGCCTGGGGTCCAGGCAGCCTACACCGTCAAAGCATCCCTGATGGTTCTGGTGGGCAGTCAGGGTTTAGGGCCCCTGCCTGAGGCAGACATTTTAGCTGTCCGCAGTGACATTGCCCTTCATCATTACACTGTGGCTTCTTTCAATTAGAGAGAACTTATTGGATCCCTGCTTTATTAGATCTTTATAAGATCCCTTATTGGATCTTGTGAAAATGGGGAAGAGACCCAGAAAGTCATGGGGTCTTCCTTATACTTGAAAGACTCAGCTCATTCCAGGGCCTGCCTGGTCGCCAGAAGCAGCAGCCTGTGGCCGTGGTCTCTGCCTCCTCTTTGGCCAAGCCCCATCCACATGTTCTTCAAGACAAACAACCCGCAAGTCCTCATCTTTAATCGAATCTCTTCTCTTTCTGAACACAGCACAAACTCTTGCTTCTCAGCACCTTCACCTCCAATGCCCAATTCCTGACTTCTTCCCTAGCAAACTTTTTTTTTGAGACAGTTTCGCTCTGTTGCCCAGGTTGAAGTGCAGTGGCTCAATCTTGGCTCACTGCAACCTCCACCTCCCAGGTTCAAGCAATTCTCCTGCCTCAGCCTCCAAAGAAACTAGGGCTACAGGCATATGCCATCACTTCTGGCTAATTTTTGTATTTTTTAAAAGTAAAGATGGGGTTTCACCACATTGGTTAGACTGGACATCTGACCTCAAGTGATCCACCCCCCTCAGCCTCCCAAAGTGCTGGGATTTCAGATGTGAGCGACCGTGCCCAGCCCTAGCAAACTTCTATTCATCCATCATGGCTCCGTTCGAGGCCCACCTCCTCCAGGAAGCCCTTCTCAACCTGCCAGGCAGAGTTGGAGTCTTTCTCCTTTATGTCCCAGGAGCATCTCATGCATCTTGTGATGCTTCACGCTGAGACACAGGATTCATTGCTTAGGGGTCTGCTTCCCACAAGATTGGGAGCTTCTCAGGAATGGAGCCATCTCTGGAGCCCCAAGGCCTAGTATAGGACCCAGCTGAAATCAGGAGTTCAGTGAGCGTTAGCTGAGTTTCCACATGGCCACCAGTCCTCCAGGAGCCCTTTCAGGAAGAATCTAATAGAAACCACACAAGAAACTTCCCTCTGATTCAAATCTCCAGTCCCTACAAAGGTAACCCCTAAAGTTTTACAAAGTGAAGTCAAGGTCAGGCCACCCGGTCATTCCCATGGCTTCTCATTGGCTCTGATTGGGTCATTCCCCCATTCCAGAGCCAGTCACTGTGGCCAGGAAAATCCAGTGCTCTGATTGGCCAGATCTGAGTCAAATGCCACTCTTCAGGTGTTGTCTTGGGAGGAGGGGAAGTGAGTCCTGGCACTCACAGGATGAAGTGTCACTGTGGTCCTGAAGACACGCCCTCTGCTCATCACACTCCCACAGCTGTGGTTCTAACATTTTCAAGAGAAGCATGCCTTTATGTGAACATTTTCCCAGATTGTACATTTTGTATTGCTTAGATGAGAAATTACCTAATGATAATGTATTTAATGTGAATTCAGGAATCCCTTGAAACTGATTTGTATTTTAGTCATCACTTCAGCATCAGTACCTTCATGTGTGTTATGCATTCAGCCTGCAGACAATGCTGGAAGCACTGTGAATATGAACCGGAGGCCCGTTCCTACTCCACTTGGCCCTCCCAAGAACGGACCTGGTGAGCGCGCAGCCAGAGTCTCGTGGGAAATTGACAAAGCTTCTCAATGAACAACAGAGCCCTCTCCCACTGCGTCACAGCCCCTCAGCCGGCGTATCACTGAGGATTTTTTGGTTGCAAGCAACAGAAATGACCTTTGCTGACCTCAGCAAAAGGAAACATCTTGGAAGGCTACTGGGAGCTCACAGGATCCACAGGAGTCTGGAGCACCAAGCTTGGGAACCAAAGATGCTACAGAGGTGCAAGAACAGAAGGCCCACGATTGGGCTGGCGATCTCAGCAACATAGTAAGGATCCTGCCTAGGAAGGGACAAAGCAGTCCCTTCAGCTCAAGGTACAGTGCCAGTGAAGGAGCTTCTGTTTAGCCTGCCTTTAGCTAAGGGAAACTGGGACCCCTGAGATAATTCCAGTAAAGCAGAATGGTGGCCGGCAGGAGAGTGGATGCTGGGAACCAGGAGCAAGGATGACACACCCTTCAGGTGGCTCTGATTGGGATCCACCCTCCTCAATCAGGAGACTACCCACTTTGAGTATGATGGTCAATTATTTCACTATTAGAGTTGCCACCACCTTTTTTTTTTTTTTTTCCTTATTGGTTATTCTGGAAGCATTCACTTGGATTTTTCCCTGCTCTGGTTTTCTGTATGTTTCTATAATCTTTCAGCTCCTGGGTGGTCTGGTTTCCTACAGGCAGCAGAGTCAGCTGGTTCTCACAGAGTCCATGCGCTCATGGAGGAAATGTGGCCTGAGCTGATGTCGCCCCACCCACGGAAAGGAAGTGACAGCCACACAAGGTGGAGGGATGTATGGGCTGTATCCACAAGGGTGATTTTGGTTACAAGGAACTGAAAACCCAATTCAAACAGCCTTAAAAAATAAAGGTGATTTATGGGCCCACATTATTGAAAGGTCCTTCAGGAAAGGCTTGATCCAGCAGCTTACCAGTGCCAGCAAGAGCCTGGTTACTTTTCTCTCACTTGGTCTGCCATTTTTAAGACTGGCTTCTTTTATAGGCACAAGACACTTGCCAGAAGTTCCCAGGACAAAAGTTTGACAGGTCTGGGTCTTATGCTCAATCTTAAACCAATCACTGAAATGCACTTAGTGACTTAGTCCTGCCCCTCCCTGGCATCAGAAGTGGAGTCAGTCCCTGGAACTACATGGATCTCCAAACCGAGATCAAGGTTATCTGGGAAGGGGTAGATACTGGGCAACAAGCTGCCCACACAGGCCCGCTGCCCTGGGCCACCAGGGACGTGGGAATTGGTGGGTTAACCATCACCATTGCAGCTGCCTTCCTGCATTAGGCATTGAACATGCATGAGTTCTATGATTTAGTGAACTGTCACAGAACCTTGGGATGTGGCCTGCTAATCCTATTTTGCAGACCAGGAAGCAGGTTAAATGAAGTGACTTGGAGCACCATACCCGGGGTGAGTCAGAGGCAGGATTTGAAGCCAGAGCTGTCAGACCCCAAAAGCCATTTTCCTCACCTCCACTCACATCTTGCCTCTCAATTATGTGCAAAGCTCTGCTGGGAACACCAGGAAAAGGAGCACATTTACTCAACTGGCCTTAACTGAGCACCTACTATGTATGTGCATCCTGCCAGACTCATTGGGGTATAATCCCTACCTTCAGTGAGGTTCTTTTTTTTAGAGACAGGGCCTTGCTCTGTCACCCAGGCTAAAGTGCAGTGGCACAATCATGGCTCACCACAGCCCCCAACTCCTGGGGTCAAGTGATCCTTCTGCCTCAGCCTCCCAAGTAGCTGAGACTACAGGTACGCACCACCATGCCTAGCTAATTTTTTGTAGAGAAGGAGTCTTGCTATGTTGCCTGGAGTGGTCTTGAACTTCTGGCCTCAAGTGATCTTCCTGTCTCGACCTCCCAAAGTGCTGGAATTACAGACATGAGCCCTCGTGCCCAGCTTCTGTGAGGTTCTTGATCTGGAAAGGAGACAGTCCCAAATCCACAAAGGCAACCCCACGGGAAGTACTATTTATTTCTGTGTTGTAAAGAAATATCTCTGGGCACTTCCCAAGCATTATTTCATTGAATACTTACAACAAGCTCTGGGAAATTGATTCCTGAGTTAACAGATGGACAGTGAGATTAAGTGACTCTAAGTCATTCGGCTGGTTGGGTTACGTGGTCTCACTTTCTAGGAGTCAAGGGGTCATTCAGGAAGGTTGGATCAGCGAGAGGGCAGCCATGGCGAGAAGGCAGCCATGGCAGGTACAGGTCCGTTGGGAATTGAAGGACGGGAGCAGGGGAGGGGCACTGTAGATTGTGGTGGGCAGAGAAGGCTTCCCAGAGAAGAACAAGTTTTGCTGAGAGAAGAGTAGAGATTGAAGATGCCTCGGCTTCTAGTGCTGCTATATGAGGGGCAACAGGTTGGGCACAGTGGCTCACACCTGTCATCCCAGAACTTTGGGAGGCTGAGGCGGGCGGATCACCTAAGGCCAGGAGTTGAAGACCAGCTTGGTAAATATGGTGAAATCCTGTCTCTACTAAAACTACAAACATTAGCTGGGTGTGGTGGCAGGCACCTGTAATCCCAGCTACTCAGGAGGCTGAAGCAGGAGAATTGCTTGAACCTGGGAGGTGGAGGTCGCAGTGAGCTGAGATCACGCCACTGAACTCCAGCCTGGGAGACAAGGGCAAAACTCTGCCTCAAAAAAAAAAAAAAAAAAAAAAATGAGGGGCAACAATCCCCACTCCGTGGGACTGGGATCCTACGGAGCAAGCCAGAAATCTAGAAGCTGTCCTTAAGTGTTTCTCTCCCTACCCCCTCCCCATCCAATCAAGCATCAAGTCCTATTAATTTTACCTCCAAAATGTATCTCAAATCATCCACCTCTCTCTGTCTCTGGTGTCATTTCCCTCCTTCAAGCTCTCTGCTGCCTGGGCTGCTACCATGGCCAACGAACTGGTCTCCCAGCACCTGCTCGTCCCCTTCATCCATCCGCCATAATACAGCCAGAGAGATCCCATAGAACTTACACTCCATGATGTCACCCCCAGTTAAAACTCCTGCGGCTTCCTATTGCTCTCGAGGAAACCCCAAAACTCTTACTGTCACCTCCCTGGAGAGGCCCAAATGATCTGACCCTAGTTGATCCTCTCTTTGCCCGACTTCCTGGTAGTTCTGTTCCCTCTGCTTAGAACTATCTTCCCCATTCTAAGCCAGTTAACTCTCTCTCTCTCTCTCTCTCTCTCTCTCTCTCTCTCTCCCCCCCCCCTTTCTCATGCAAGACATGCCTTTCGCCTTCCACCGTGATTATAAGGCCTCCTCAGCCTCACTCCCCTCCACTCACGTAGAACTGTGACTTCATTAAACCTGTTTTTCTTTATAGATTACTCAGTCTCAGGTATGTCTATCAGCAGCGTGAAAACAGACTAATACACTCATGCTTATGCTTGAAATCTCCATTCACAGGCCACTTGCTCAAGGAAGACTTTCTTGATTTCTCAGACCTGCCTTTATTTATGTAGTTAATTAGTTAGATTTTGTTTTTGTTTTTGTTTTTGAGACAGAGTCTCACTGGATCACCCAGACTGGAATACAATGGTGTGATCTTAGCTCACCGCAACCTCTGCCTCTCGAGTTCAACCAATTCTCCTGCATCAGCCTCCTAAGTAGCTGGGATTATAGGCGCTGGCCACCATGCCTGGTTAATTTTCTTTTTTTTTTTTTTTTTTTTTGTCTTTTTAGTAGAGACCGGGTTTCACCATGTTGGCCAGGCTGGTTCCGAACTCCTGACCTCAGGTGATCCTCCTACCCCCAGACCTGCATTTATTAATCTCACCTAGTACTTCTTTGTAGCCCCAGTCACAATGATAATTACATTAAGTATGGGTTAAATTGGTCCCTGAAAGTCCATCTTCCCACTCATGGATACATTGTTTCTGCCTCTTTCTTAGGAGAACCATTTCACGCAATCGTGAAAATGGTGTCAGAAGCGGATCTGGAGGAAGCCTGGACGTGTGGATGTTGATACTGGTGAGGGCAGCCACCTTCCCTGCCCCGTGGAGAATGCCCAGATGAGAATGAGGCCCCAGACAGAGAAAGCAGAAGCAGGAGGCAGAGAGCAGCTAAGGCCAAAAATGTTTTGCCCTGGAGCCAGCGTGCCCGAAAGTCTCCCAATTAGGTGACCCTCTCCCCCAGCCCTGTGTTTCGCTTTGCTTTGCTGAAGGTGGTTTCACCTCGCAATTCCAGACTGCAAGTGCCTTGAAGACACAGTCTGTGTTTGTCTTCACTGCTGTACCCCCCGTCCTAGCTCAGAGCCTGGATTGATCACTATCTGCGGGCTGAATGAATGACGTGGAAAGTGGACAGGCCGTGGTGTGGGATCAGAAAGGAATCGTGATCAGTAAGAAACCGGCCGCTGTCTTTCTCTCTCATCACACGGGACACAGCGGGCTCGCCCAGAGCAGAAGCCTCCCTGGTGTCCTGTTACCAGGACCCTGCCCTCTGGGCAGGAGAGACCCCCAGCCCTCCCGCAGGGCCTGGCTTCCATGTAGCGGCCTTCTAGGACAGAAGAGGCCCTCTCGGGCCCTCCAGCTCAGGGCCTCCACCTCGCTCTCAGAACCTGAGGCCTCCCATTTCCTTCCTTCACTTCCCGGAATATTCCAGAGCTGACCCACCACCGCCCATGGCACGCCCAAGTAGCCAAGGTGACTGTTTACCCTCTGCCCTTAGAAACCATCTCTGGCTGGTGGCAGCAGCCACCCCACACAGCTGCCCTCTGTCCAGGCTGACCGAACAAGCAGAGGTGCTTCCTGCTAGGGTTGGCACTGCCAGGCTGGGTTTCCCACCCCTCCCCAGCCCCTCGCCCCACTGCTCCTGGCCCACTCAGCTCCCCACAGCCCCAGATGCCACACATTCACCTCTGGTCAGTCTGGGGACAGAGCGGGGAGCAGAACTCACCCCTTCCGGATCCTCCAGCCACACTGCCTAAGGTCCAGCGACACCCAGGTGGCACACAGAGACCACTCCTGCCTTGGCAGCCAGAGAGGCCTGAGCCAACCCGCTCCCCTGCTACCTGCAGCTTCCTGACCTCAGGCAGTGGCTCCAGCTCTCTGAGCCTCAGTTACTGGAAGTTACTCGCGATGCAGCCTGAGGACGACGGCTGTAGCCACCCCGGAGGCTGTTCTGACGGTGAAATTAGCGCAGTGCCAGCGTGGGATTCAACGCTGACTGACCGAGGGTGCTGTCGGGAGGGCCACCATGCCCCGAAGGGACACAGAGGGCTCACCTCTATTCTGAGAGGGTACTGAGGCTTCGTCCCCTTCCTGAGGGCACTGAGGGCTCCACCCTCTTCCTGGGGGGACACTAAGGGCTCCACCCCCTTCCTGGGGGGAGGCTGAGGGCTCCACCCTCTTCCTGAGGGGTTGCTGAGGGCTCCATCCCCTTCCTGGGGAGACACTGAGCATTCCACCCCCTTCCTGGGGGGACGCTGAGGGCTCCATCCCCTCTTGAGGGGACACTGAGAGTTTCATCCCCTTGCTGGGAGACACAGAGAACCTCACCTCTCTCCTGAGGGAACACAGAGGGATCACCCCTTACCCCAGGGTCGCTGGGCTGTGTGATCCCTGCCCCCCTCACCCCCAGTAATGAGTCCTGAGTTTGGGGTCAGCCACCTGGTTGGAAGGGAGCCAGAGATTCGAAACTGATGCTGCATGGTACAGTCAGACCTTTTTAATTTGATTAGTGTTTATCTGGGGAGGCTCTGAGAGGTCTGATGGTGCTTATGGGGGCCTGAAAAGCTCCCACGTTGTCCCTCAGCACTGCTGATCACCTAGTGGACCCCGTCCTCCTATGCGACCTGAGACCTGTCCTGGCCCTCTTCAGGACAAGCTTCCCAGCCACGCCCTCTTCCCGCAGCAGTCCTTCACCACCCCCGTCAGCACGTGCACCCAGCCACGTGCTCTTTGCTAAGAAACGAGTCCCCCCAACCTGTGAGCACGGACTTTGGAGTCAGAGGAGCAACGGGGTTCTCAACGTATGAGTCACCTGACTCCTCTGAGCATCACAGGGCAGGGACACATTACCTACCCCTGGATGCCGTAAGGATTAAACGTGGAAACTTAAGAAAGGTCTGGACACAGCAGCAGGCCCTCAATAAATGAGGAACACGCACAGGGGTATGGATTGAAGGTTTTTGTCCCCTCCCAAAATTCACATGTTGAAAACTTATCCCCAGTACAACAGCACTGGAAGGTGGCACCTTTTGGGAGCTGTTTAGGTCATGAGGGCTCTGCCCTCATAAATAGAGCGATGCTGTCATAAAAGAGCATGCAGGAGCGTAGGCTCCCTCTCTACTGCTCTTCTGCCACATGAGGACACAGCAGGAAGGCCCTTGCCGATGTCAACACCACGCTCTTGGACTTCCCAGCCTCTAGAACTGTGAGCAATATATTTCCGTTCTTGATAAATTACCTTCTCCCAGCTATTTTGTTAGAGCAGCTCAAATGGACTGAGATACAAGCCAGGAAATAACACATGTGCGTTCTTCCCAGCCCTTCTCTTGCTTGCTTTCTAAGGGGGACTTAAAAGCAGAGAAACCTGGAGAGAAGCCAGCAGCAGGTGACCAGGCCCCAGGCCCCAGGCCCCAAGCGAGGCACTAGGGATACAACTGGAAATGAGATTCAGCTTTTGCAAACTCACAATAAAAGTACCAGGAAGGCCCCAGCTACACCCTGTCCGCTTTCCCTTCCCACCCGGGCTCAGTGTGTGGACACTCCAGCCCACACATCACACCTCCCAGCTCTGTCTGCCTCCCCCAGACTCCATGGCCACCTCCAGGCCTAGCAGCACAGAGGAGTCCACCCTCGGGAGAATGCGCCAGGAAAGGGAACCACACAGGCCCTGGCACAGGCCGTTCCAGCATCCAGAGTGTGCTCCACAAGCCGCGGTGGTCTGGGCTCTGGGTGGGCACCTATCCTTGGCCCCTGACCCTGTGGGACGGGGTGTGGGCCAGAAGTGACCATAGCCAGGTCCGGGGTCCAAGCCTGGGCCCTGCTTGCCTAGACCTAGGGCAATTAGACACTGACTGGGTCCGTGCACGCTTAGAGTCAAACAGCGAGAACAGGTATTAAAGAACTTGAGGAAGGTGAAATCCGTAATACAAACGCCAATGGAGGGAGAGCCTGGCTTTACCTGGGAGCAGGAGGAAATCCCCCGATGCCCCCAGCCGAGGCTCCTCTGAGTCCTGCTGCCAGGGCTCCCTCCCAGACCCCCGGACAGAGCGTTTAGGGAGCTGTGCCCACAGCTGTGCCACGCTCTGGGCTCTGGGGCCCAGGGTCCCTGGGGCACTGTCTCCCAGCAGATGGCTTCCTGCCCAGCTGCAGAGGCATGCCCACCCCAGCCCAGGGAGCCAGAGGCTCAGCTGGCAGTTAACACGTGCCTTGAGGGCAGAGAGCCCCTGTTGGAGGGGGCACACCCTGTTTTTGCATTTGTTCAGCATTCTTTTATTGAGCACCTACAGCATGCCTGGCACCGATCTGGGTGCTGAGGATACACCTGTGCACAGACATGGCCCCTGAGCCCACGGATCCGGGCATCCTAGCTGGGGAGACCCGACAGTAAGACAAATAAATGCATGGCAAGATCATCCCCATAGTGGCAAGTTCCGTGAAGACAGTAAAACGGACAGGGAAGGCCTCATGGAGGAGGCTCCACTGAAGCCAAGACCTTTTAAAGGACTTAAAGTCAGGTCTGTCTGCACCACATCCTCACCATCGCGTGACCCTGCCTCCCTGTCCGGCTGGGGCACCCTCGGGTCTGAGGGGCCGGGAAAAGTGAGGGTGATGGTGGAAAGAAGCTCATGCCTCCTCCTCCCGCCGGAGAAAAACCTTCACAAACGGAGCGTGGAGGGAAGTGGTGATATAAAACCCACCACATATAAATAGGCCTGTCCGCTCCACAGTCGCCCGGGAAAGCTGCGGTCAGTTTGGACTTTGCTTAAGGCTGAGCTCCCGGCCACCGGGAGCCCAAAACGGCTGAACAAACTTCGAGCTTCACATGGGGCCGGCCCTCGGTGAGTTCAAGGCCAGAGCATTTCTCCAGAGTCAAAACCGCAACAGGAAGACACAGAAACAGTCTTCCGAGGAGGGCCGCCCTGGCGCAAGGGCCCCGGTCAGCGTTCCCAAAGGTCACCGTGGAGGAGGGCCGGGGAGAAGCCAGGAATACCCCCTAGCTCCAAAACCTTTCCCCCGCCCGGGTGCCACCATGCCTGAAATTTTGCCATGACAATTGAGGAACTGGATTAAGCCTTGCTGCGCCTTTACTCCTGCAAGAAAGAACACACTTCGTCCCGAACGCGGGGAGGGCGGGAAGAGGGGCCCCGGGGAGTGTGGCTGTTCTGACGGTGTAGCCCGAGGTCTCCTTGGCAGTTCTGACTTCAGATCGTCTGTACCCGTTTTCCATGGGAGCCAGCCGGTGTCTTCCAGGGACATAAGACATCCTCGCAGTTGTCTAGAGAACGGAGCCCCAGGCAGGGAGTCTGGAGCGCTTGGTTGTGGCTCTGCCACTTGGCCAAGTTTCCCCTCCTATTCCTGGGCCTTCATTGATCCTACAGTGGGGAGTGTGACCTCACTCAAGGCCAGGGGCCCTCGGGCTGACTCCCTTCCCTAATAAGAAGCAGAGATGCGGGCTTCAGAATGAAGGTGTTGGCGTCCATGGTGAGGGGAGGAGAGAGGAGAGAAGGGCCCTGGGGAAGAAGGTGGAGACGCTGGGATGAGAGCTGCCAGCTCTGCAGCTGCTGCCCGCTAGCCAGGTCCTGCCTCCTTCCTTGGACCCTTGGGCCCCCAGGCAGCTCAACCGAGTCACCCCAGAGCAGATCTCAGCCTGCACTTCGGCCAAGGTAGCTGCCAACGCCACGCCCCAGGGCTCCCCTCCTATGGGAGCAAGGAGGAGCTTTGCCAAAGCTGCTCAGACTGTCACTGGACCTCCAGTGGTGCCGGGGAAGTGACCAGCACAGAGACCCAAGCACTGTCCGTGCAGGAAAGAGCACGGGAGTTGGGGCAGGCAGAGACCTGGACCGGAATCTGCGCTCCATCCTTAATTGGCTGCCTGACCTCCACCAGTCAGTCCCTCAGCTTCTCTGAGTCTCAGTTGCACCATCTGTAGAATGGGACGAATGATCCCTCTGAGAAGCCATGGAGGCTCCTGGGACATGACGCACCCACTCTGCCTACCCCCACGCCTAGCACACAGTAGGAGTTTTAGAGAAAAATCATTCCCTCCCTCTAAGAAATACACGTTTACTGTGGACTTGATCCTGGTCCCAACATTTAACCCAGGGGCTAAGCTCATTCCACAGGATGAGCTGGATTTACAGTTCAGAAATATAATTGCCACCCAGACTCCTGCCACCAGACAGACTCCTGCAAGCAGACACTGCCACCCAGACTCCTGCTACTAGATCTCTATATTGTGGCCACCGTCTGAGGTCCTGCCACTGCAGGGATACAACCACTGATAGTACCCGCAATTGAGTGCACACCTACTATGTGTCGGGTGCTTCACACGCTTTCACTGTCTATTCATATTCTCACCTCAAGCGTCCAGCCTGAGGAAACTCCCGATTTTACAGATGTGCAAACTGAGCAGCAGCTCAGGGATGTGAAGTTCCTGCTCAGGAACCACGCAGTCAGTCCCACTGTCTGCCTGCAAAGCCCATGCGCTTACCACTAGGCTGCCCTGCCTGCCTCTGGAGGCTGAGAGAAGCCTGTGTTTCTCGGTACCCCAGTGAGGGCCACTGGGGAGAGCCCAGGAGAAATAGCAGAGGCCTGAGTGTCTCTCCTCACCAACCAGCAGATGACAATTTCACTAAAACCAAATTTCCCCACATGAAGAGCTTCTCCTCCTCCTTTTCAAAAGACCTGGGCTTCAGGGTGGATCCCCAAAGTGGCTCTGAATTCTGAAGCGGCCAAGAGTCGAGTCGTGATGCTGAGGGCACATTTCCAGGGTGATCATGTTTACCAAGTTCAATATAGTCTTTGTGAAATGTGAATTTGGGGCCATTCTGGGCAATCAGGGTCTTGGGGTTGCTGCTGGGAAAACC